GCTTGGCCTCGCCAGAATACGGTAACTAACGTGAAAACCATGTCGTGCAAAAGTATGAATTATGTCAAAACGAAGGAAGCTACGCGGTTTGTATTACTACCGGAACATAGAATAAGGACCAGTGAACAAAATAAGCTCATGTTTGTATACATTTGTATTTTCATTCACATCGAACTCGTACGATAAAAATGTAGTGAAATCGGTACCAAATCGGTGTCTTACTCCTTTGTCATTATTAGCTCCTGATGATGTCTATGCATAATGTTAGCATGCATGATGCCGGGAAATAGACCATTTTATTACGAACGCTAGGGACCAACCCGGTGACTGGCGCTAACGTACGAGAGGTCATCGATTGTTCCCGACATATTATTTTATTTATTCCAGGAAATGAACAGTCCACTGAATACAGAAGTCGCCGTGTTGCAAATGGAGGAAGAGGTGCCACACATTTCAATATAACCAAACTCCAATTGGAATTCTTTATTGAATGTCGATTCACAAAGAAAAAAATGGCAGAAATGCTGAAGGTGTCTACTAAAACTATCCATAGGAGAATGAGGTAGGCTTAATCATTCACATGTACAAAAATATGAAAAATGTGCTAGCCTCAATAGGCCTACACTGGAAGTTATCAATAATGTCAATGACACTATGATTTGAAAGTTTAGGGCAGGCTATACCATAGACCAATAAATTGTGCCCTAAAAATTTTTATATTCTGATGTTATTTTAGGGCCCAATAGCCTTCCATAGACAAAACCTGTGAATTTTACACCTTTTCACTATTTACGGCCGTGTTACATAGAAAATCAAAGAAATACCTAAAGCCGTCGCTTTATTAACATTTTACCTACATTACAAAACATTTGTCATGCAGTATTCTCCGCTTTAATCATATTTATTTTATTAAAACATCCCGAAATAAAAATCACGCAAACTTTGTTACAAACAAATCTGACAATCTTGCATTGAACCGCACAACGACATTTCTCACCGGCCAATGAAATCATCGCTGTCCGGTGCGGTTCAATGCAAGATTGCCAGTTTTGTTTGTAGCGAAGTTTGCGTGATTTTTATGTCGTGATGTTTTAATAAAATAAACGTGATTAAAGAGGAGAATGCTGCATGGCAAGTGTTTTGTAATGTAGGTAAGATGTTAATAAAGCAATGGCTTTAGGTATTTCTTTGATTACCTCCGCTGCAACGGAGTTGCAGGGGAGGTAATGTGATCCCTCTCGTGTGATGTTCGTGTGTGTGTGTGTAGCCAGCAGCGACCCAGCAGCAGCAGCGCGATCGATTCAGCACCAGCTCGCCTTAGAACGTCCAGGCAGCAGCAGCTCGCCTTAGAACGTCCAGGCAGCAGCAGCTCGCCTTAGAACGTCCAGGCAGCAGCAGCTCGCCTTAGAACGTCCAGGCAGCAGCAGCAGCAGCAAGCCAGCTGTTATACACATGTATACATGTTACACGCTCGCGGAGGTATGCACTCTTTTTGAGTGCCCTCTGTCTAGTTTTCTATGTAACACGGCCGTAAATAGTGAAAAGGTTGTCGTCCATTTTGCACGACAAAATTCACAGGTTTTGTCTATTGAAGGCTATTGGGCCCTAAAATAACATCAGAATATAAAAATTTGTAGGGCACAATTTATTGGTCTAGCTATACCAATGCGCCTCGAGAACAAGAATGTTTTCAGCTTCCATTTGAAGACCGGGACACTGGTGGCAGGTACTGGCACAAATGTATTGTGGTCTTGTGGTAGTAGACTGTTCCACGTGGCGCCAAAAATATTCAACAATAGCCAAGAATAATGAATATTAATTTATGTGAAAGAAACTAGCGTACCATCCACAACAAAATTCTGAAATGAATCTGAAAAAATGTATGTTTGCAAATTGAACTTTCATCATGTTTTCCTAGGACATTGCATGCAGTCATGATGCTCATTTGTTTAATCACTTTTCAGGCAGTTTGGATTGGTTGCCCTGGACAGACCAGGTCATCTGCCGGAGGAAGAGCTGGATCAAGTTGTTAAAGATGCTATGAGTGATAATAGACGGATTGGGGCAAACGGTGTCCATGTAAAGTTGCGTAACAAGGGGATCAATGTTCCACGAGACAAAGTACGTGAATCTGTTCGACGCGTCGACCCATTTGGAGTGGCACTGCGATCGAGGCGTACACTTAAACGGCGAGAATACAGTGTCAAGGGACCAAATTCCCTTTGGCATATAGATGGCAACATGAAATTAATAAGGTAATGGTAGAACCCCTAGTGTATGACTGTGAATCCATGATGACTGCTCTTGTTGGCTGTGACCGCAGGAATGAACGTGATATGTCGTTCATCTGCACCATTTGACTGTCCTTGCGCCATCATGCCGAGGACGAATTATCATTAGCCACACTTCACAGGGGGCTTCTAATTCTAATGGAAATTACACTCCTCTCGCAGTAGCTTGTCTCCAACCACTGCTTCAAATAGACAGCTAGCCGTTTTGTCAAAAGATGGCGCCACAATCGAATCGTCAATCCAAAATGACGACCGGACATCACCAGCCAAAAACTCTTGGTGGATTACACCTTGTTACCATAGTTACGATATCAGACACATATTTCCCAAGATGCCTCTTTTTAGCTCAACTGACATAGTCAGATGCATCTTGTAGAATCGCATGAGCGTGCGTGCGTCCGGCCGTCCGTCCGTGCGTGCGTCAACAGTTGGGCACAAATCTTAACCGCTTGACGTACGGTCACGATATTCGGGACGTCGGGGGGATCGTCAAAACGATTGGGATGTCGAAGCTGGGGGTCAAAAGTCAAAGGTCAAGAGGTGTAAAAGAAGGGGGAACATTCCCTCCTTAACTTAAGGTATAGGGAGGAAATGCAGAATTGCGGCACAAATCTAAACGGCTCGACCTAGGCTCGTGATAGTCAGTGTATAGCATCATGGTAGGAAAAGCCATCACTGTGCCGAAA